CGGCATGCTCTCTTCTCCCAAGTCCCGCCCATTCCCTCCCCTCACGTCGCGCTTAAACATTTCCGAAGAACCGGCCAACTCTCCGTGACCCCCATCGTCGGGCGACGACGGTTTTCTCGGGCGTGAGAACCAGCGGGGGTGGGGGCGGCAGTAGTTTTCCTCGTCGTCGAGCGGTTATCACTCATCTCGCCGCCCGTCTCGCAGTGCCTCTCGCCCCCCCCCCGCCCGCGCGCAATGCCGCCCCGGCGCCTCGTGGACCAGATGGCGGTCGCATTAAAAACTTTTTGCGATTATGCTTTCCCGATTTCAATGGTCAGGCACGTGCCGGGACATGGGTTAGGGGGCCGGCCGTCCATTCGCGCCAACGACTTTAAAAGCGGTCCCGCGTAGTTTTATGTCTTTCTAAGGCGCGGGTTACAGCCGCGACGTAATTCGCACGCCGTGGATTTTTCTTCCTCCTCTCCTGACTGACCGTACTGACTCACGATAATAATACGATCTCGTAAAAGTATACGCAATAACACGATAAAATTATCAGAATATTCGATCAAACGGACGATGAAAACAGCGTTGTAAATGTCCCGACACTAACGTCTGATGGAAAGTCGATTTGTCTTCTGAAAAGTCATAACTTGTGTATCAATCTTGCAGACTAGGGATAATGCCCGTGCATGACTTCTTTTTACATCCTTTCTAAGATAGTTTAAATAACGATAAAGCAAAAGAAATTATAGATATATGCGATCGAATATCATAACTTATCAGTTTTATATTTACGTGTATTACATATGCTAAAACCACGTAGGATAGTTTCGGATAAATAAAAAGAAAACAATTATGAACACGTAAGCATGGCTATGGTGAAACATGAGACAAGCGTGCCATAAAAAGGTAATCGTAAAAATTTCGTAAGTAACGCCCGTAGATTATTCATAAAGCGCTCATAAGAATTTATCGTTACCCTTAAATTTCAGCGGCGCCTCGTGTGCGAGAAACGTGACTTCCCTTCTCCGACAATTCGAACACGCTATTACGAGGGAAGTCTGTTTCTAGTGCTGTCGTACGAGTACTTCATTTATTCCAAGTAATACATCAAGAGGGGGGGAGGGACCATATATGGATCGGGGGCTCGTATCTGGAGACTTACCCCCTACTCGTTATTGTTCGGATGGTGATGGACCGCCGGCGAATAAATTTCCCAACGAGACGGTGGAAGCGCGAAGAGGGGAGAACACATAGCCCGCGACGACCGCCGACACATCCGTGCTGTATCCTCCCGCGAAATTTACGACGGCTATTTTAAATTCATAAAGATATTTGTATTCTCGGTCGTCGCATAATCGTGCATTCGGCCGTTCCGCGACGCGCGGAAACTCCTCGACGTCGCGACGCGAATGGCCGAAGCGCAAGATTCACGTGAGGAACAACGGGACAAAAATCATGAAAACATATTCAGCAAATCTTCAAGGTACTATGTTAATCCACGTACGAAATAACACGATGATATAATATTAAAATGCCATACGAGAATGCATGCTCGAGAAATTTTTGTCAATTTAAAAGCAGCCATAATATTTTATTACGTAACGAGTATTCTTGATTAATTCAAATTAATGACATCAATTAGTTGCAGCATTTCTTTTTTTTTTCTTTTTGTTTTACTTTTAACTTGGTAAATGTTGTTTTCAGATTTTTGAACATTGATAGACATTCGTGAGAACAACTTTAGGCATTTTGCCTAATGGACAAAATGTCAAACTGCACTTTGGCGGTGCTTAGCATTATCTTGCCGGAGGGATAGAAGAGAATTGTCTCCGTCCTGTTTTATCTGGAACGCTCTACGTTGTAAAAGGCAACTTCTAAGTCGCTCCGAAGTTCGTGGGTATAAGAGAATTTTCGCCTGTCGCGTTCTCCGGAAAGTTAATAAACATTAACAAATCGGCTCTCGTCGCGTAATAGAGCGTCGTAAAATTTCCCGACGCGGATATTTTCCGCGAACGAGCAATTGCGCGAGGCGGCGCGACGGCGGTAAACATAAATCTCGTAAATGGAAATAGTTACCGTATCCCGAAATTAAATCGACCGGCGACATTTCGGACTGTTTAAGTACAATGGGACACGAATCGCAATTCCAGGCGACAGACACGGCTCGGTTAGCTAGATAAATGCCGTGCCGCAGTTTCGTGCGCGGTTTCTCTCGCATCGAGCCGCACGATGTAGCAACGATGGCGCTCCAACCAATATCTACCCGTAACTTTGGAGAGCGAACTGACAAAATAGAGGGAACTGGTGTAGGAATAGATTGCGCAGCAAGTTTGAGATATTTCCATTAAAAAGCAGTTATACCATTTCAAGTATTGTCGTTGATGATATGTCTGGCATAAATACCTGTCGGAGCGAAAGAATTGAAGCTTTAAAAAACACGCGGATGAGTTTTGTCGCAATTGACCAATTATTGATTATGCGTTCGGTATAAATATCCTAAATTTCACATTTACACACGACTAATCTGCTGCAATTATGGATATTTTTAATATTCTTCCCTCTGTGCTCTTCAATTTAAAATTTATTCCTTATAAAT